AAAAGCATATTTAAAAAATGACATATGCGAAATCTTACTCCTTTGTCCTTAGCATTGTGACTTGATAAAAGAAACTGGAACAACTTGCTAAGAAATGGTGAGACTGATTCTGTGGATTCATTGTCCAAAGATGGAAAAAAACTCATACAGAATTCAACACAAAACTCTAATGTGTTTACGATATTTGGTTGTTGTTGTGAGTTTGAAAGGGGCACTTTTAAACACCAGACGAAATGTTCCCAAAATATATCTAAATCAGTCTAAAAGAATGAAAATTTCAAATCAATTTTGTAAAATTAATACCATTTCAAGAAAGCAAAAACAAAATGTACCGAAAAAAGCACCCAAAAAAAAGATATTCTGCCGATAAGCGGGGAATTCCTCTTAGCATTTATTCTAAGCAGAAAATCGTAAATGAATCAGGCGCGTGTATTTATAACACGTATTCGTCTATAAAAATGAGGACATTTCAAAGTTATCATAATAGTTAGGAGAAGATTCTTCTATTATTAAGAGGGATATTATTAATCCAATTTTAAATCCAACCCGTAATTATTAAACGAAATTCCTCTATTTTGGAGAGTATCCTCTCGAGGTCATATGTAAATGGAAAATCCTCTGATATTAACACGGAACTGCTAAACGGCAGAATATTTTTTTTTGGGTGAGCATTATTTCTCATGCAGACTCACCTTCTCATACAACTTTGTAAGTTCTTTCATGTACTGTGGATGATTAGTTTTTTTAAACTGCACTTTGTAAAATATGCTTTTCATATTTTCTTTGATCGCCGAAGCCATATTTATGTTGGCGTAGAAAATGTTAGAAAATATTGTACTGCACGTCTCACATTATCCTATCAGACACAACAAACGTATAACTGGCGTTAATTTTTCAAATAAGTTTTATGCGATTATAGTGCCATCTCTTTATCAGTCTATTTATCATCTATTTATTAGCAAATATTGGTTTTGATCGACGGATCATAAAAACAATCGGCTAAATTTATCGCCATCTTTTGGATCTCATTTGAGTTTATTACCTTATTTATATACTATTAATGATATATAATATTAAAAAGACGTTTTAGAACAGAATATGTAATTAACAAATGTTTTCAATAATAATGCAAAGTTGTTATAGAAACTGTTCACCAATCCTATTGTATAATCCAACCTGAAAAAGAATAATTTTCAAATGTTGATATATATATGATTAAATCAAAATGTATACCTTCCAAAAAATAGTTAATATATGCTATAGTATTAAAATATCTTATTCCTTAACATATTCATGGTTTAGAATATAAATACATATTTTGTGTATATATTTAGGATTATCTTTTAATTATTACATTTTCTCTAGATTGCATATAATGAAATAGCTAAATATTACGTTATTCAAATTGTATACAGTATAATCAATCTAGAATTAAATTGCATTTGCATTATGATATATTTGGAAATATATATACACGTCTATAAAATAATATATACAATCTTTTACACATTTAAAATCATAACATCTAGTATACAGTATTCATATTTAAAACCATATATTTTCTGGATATATGTATAAATACCTATGTATTTTAAATATCTTCATGAAGACCCTTGCTTTTAGAATACTAGGTAACTTTAGTAAAAGCGCATCCACATTTATATCGACATGAGGATCTTTTTCTTTAATCTGCTTCATATAGTTTCTTTACATACTTTGATTACTCCCCCAGCATTCAGGCGACGATCATCGCTCCACAGTGGGCAACTATGTTTAAAAAAAATGTAAGATAATTTTGATACAGTTAAACAATAACATTAATAAATAAAAATTGTCTATTATTAAAATTCACATATTTGAACGTTCTGTTCCTTGACCTCGGAAGTGCTTATAATCGGTAACTGGTTTATCACAAATGTAATACATTTGGGCGCCACAGATACAAGTCATTTTGTTACAGCCTTCTTCTTTGAAAAACTACAACGGTAGCATTTTTGTACCAGAGCTTGAATCATCTTCTCTTTAGATACAAGTCATTTTGTTACAGCCTTCTTCTTTGAAAAACATTCGACTACAACGGTAGCATTTTTGTACCAGAGCTTGAATCATCTTCTCTTCCAAATATAAACGTGCAGATTCTGACTTCTTTTCGTTGCATTTCAAAGGTATATGATTAAGTTCCTTGCATAATCTAATACCAAAACAATTTATTAATGTGACAATTTTAGTAATGGTTAAATTTTCCTATACAACTCATTCGATATTGTTCTTAGCATTACTGTCCCGAGTGCATCCGATTCCTAGCGTCGCGGTTACCATTGTCTTCTCCGAACGCCCCGCTATTGTCCAAGCGACAATTACGCGAGCGTTCCGGCTTGATTCGCGCAACTGCAAACGTGACACAGCTGCCTCATCCGTACCGGATGCAGCCGGATTAATCCGCTCGGTCAGCAATGTATGTAATCTGTCGCGTGTTCGTGTCGATTCGAACGTGGCACGTTACAGGCACAAATGAAGCTGTGACGAATTTCAAGTGGCAAAGACGGAGTTGGCTGCAGGCGTCAGTAGAATAAATGCGTACTTGACCCGACACACCTTCGATCGTCCATTCTCGACGCGTTTTCCGCCACGGACGATTACACGTACGATCAGTTTAAATTTCGTCGTAATTGCGACAATTCACCGTTTTGCGATTTTATTTTAAGAAAATACCGAAGTAATTGTATGCGTGCGTAAGATTATATATTTAATTTAATTAAACTTTTAATTAAATTACATTCTGTAAAATACCGTTTTAGAACAACGAGGAAAAAAAGCAATTTTAAAACACTACGCAATTCATTAACTTTATTTTATTTTCGTTTGCGCTCAAAAATTTTTAATCTTTTTCGCAGTTGACACAATCGATGTCCATCGGTGCGGTTTACAGATCGTCGTTGTATTTTCAGTGTGACAAACGGCGTACACATTAAAGACACGGTAGACTGCAATAAAGATCCGTTATCACCATTATTACAGTACACCTCCAGAGATGAAATCTGCCTGCATTTCACGTCACGTGAAACGAGCAGGCGAAATGTCGATTACGCTACATTAACGCTTACACATCGTGTCGCATTTATGCCAGGGAGCTTCTGTTGCAATGCAGTGAATTTGCTAGTTCACAGTAGTATCTCACTTATATTTGTTATTTTAATAAACATCGATATTTTGCTGGAGCATCTAAAAGTTTGGATTCTAAATAAAGATCTGTGAAAATATGATTTTGTTAGACTATCAAAATAATTATGTAGGACGCTCAAAAGATCGCTAAAATGTAAAAATTTTCTGCAACATTGCTCATCATATTTGAACATCTTAAATAATTATTTTGACAATCCAATAAAATTATTTTCAGATTTTTGCTAACTTTTTAGATACTTCAGTATTAATAAATTAACTATTGTTTCTGTATGACAAAGTTGCTAATATTGCTCGTTCAATATTTAGAAGTAAAAAAAAAATGTAAAAATACCAATTGTTTTGTGGCTATTCTTCATTATGAGAGAAAAACGTCTAGTCTTTAAACGTAGATGATGGAATTGATTTAATAAATTGAATCATTATTATGTGAATATAGTACAGCTTTTGCGCAACTCGTAGGGAATCAAAGAGAATGGATGACTAAGATGCTAAATTTAAAATTGATCGGCGTGTCGCATCGTGTCGAGAAATAACGCGTAAGATAAAATATTTCGCGTTTGCTCGTGTGTAACGCGTGTAATGCATGCAAGCATAACGAGAACGATTTGTCGCGACGTTGAGCGGTGGCGGTACACGGCGAAGGGATAACGTTAATAAAATGCTGGAAAGGGTTCTCTTAACGGGTCGGGCCCAGTATTGGGCGCGATACATTATTCATGGCGAGTACCGACACATCACACACTCGATAGCGGATTATACAGCGCGATAACTCAACGAGCAATTTCTAGAATGTTGCCTTCGCTCTGAGAAGCTTTCAACTTGATGTACGATCGCGGTATAATCACTTGACGAAGCGAACGAGTTTCCGTTAAAGGTCTTTATAATGTGTCCTGATAATTTCATGACAGAACAGAATGCTGTCTTTTTACTGCAAATGTTTAACGAAAGTGTTGAAAATATTAGATACCTACATTACGATAAATCATTTGTCTGATGGAAAAGTGATACAATTCAAAAATTAGTATTCTTGAAATAATAACAGAAAATCAAGTCTAACAAAGACATACATTTTTGTTGGAAAAATATAATCCTCAAAATTTACCTCTAAAGGCCAGAAGTAATGCAAAAGTTTGCTTGTGTGTGTTGTCTGATTTAAAGATCCTCTCGAACTATGTAAAGCAACCTATAATTGGTCTCTATTGTAATATTTAATCTATTGCAATATTGGTCTCTATTGTAATATTTTTTTTTTATTAAACTGTGTTAATCAGAGCGCGAGATGATACATCTTTTTTCTTTCTCATACACTGGAGAATGAGATAAAACATATTTTTCTTTACTTGCACAATTTTGACGAAAAATGTCAGACTCCTCATCATGGCCAAACTCTAATTAGACAATTTCTATTCTGATTAAGTTCGCAATGATTGTTTATAGAAAAGAAATATTTGTTTGGTTAAATACACTGAAGGAGTGTTGTCGATGCTAAAATAGTTGTGTAGAAGAATTTCTATTATACCATTTTTCTTTAAAAAGTACTTAAAATGTCTCTCAATATGGAATTTTGAAAATACTCTTCTGAAAGAGACAGAAAAAGAAAGAAAGAGCGCTTAATTTTGAGATGTGTCATTTCTCTATCAAATAAACAAAATATAATAAGAAGAGATTCATGTTCTCATTATATTTATTTGACAGATAAAAAATGTGAAGAAGAATAAATTTTCGTAATTAATTTGCTTTTACTGTATGTCATCAGACTTTTCGATTCTAAACTCCATAGTTAATTAGAAATGGACTGTTAATTTATTCCTCAATAGAATTATCGGAGTCGAAGCGGTCGTTTCTTCAGCGTTTCCACCGAGGACACAAATGTTGACTCTGAGGTTGGTGCTTGCACAACGGTGTCTTCCGGTCGAAGTTCCGCCGGGGCTACAGGACTCAAGGCCAGTAAACAGCGATGGAGTGGATTCTTCACTAACACTAAGGGTATCAAGATGGACTTATTAACCGCCCAACTAGACGAATACAACAAACACGGCGTGCCGAAACTCGCGAACGTTCATTTGCAGTGCGACGTAACGATCAGTGAAGAAGGTAGGAGATTCCTTTAATTTCTCTTTTTTTCTCTTACGAGCGTCTCTTGAAATGAGAAATTTAAAATCCGATGATTCAGGCTCAAATTAACGCAAGGTACGCTCTTCTCTTGAAAAAACACCTTTATCTCATGAAAGAACATTAAAATCCTTTTCTCTCGCTCGTTAGCTTCACATGCAAACGGGATCGGCAAAGTTTGAAGATCCCTTTAACGATTACACTCTACTTTGTTAGAGTAGTCGCATTATTTATTCTTACGTCATGCTCCTCTCGTTTCGCGAAGAAACATTCTCGTTCGAGTGCGAAAGCGCGATTGAGTCTGAATCAGGGCGAGATTAATTCTGGAGTAGTACTATATAATAACCCTGATAATATTGTAATTTAAATTACTAATAACATCGCTGCCATAGCATTGAAAATCGAAAATCGATAACGATGCGTTCTCGTACACCTTAAACAAAATAGTCCGGTACCTAATTTTCTGCAGAAAAATATGATTTAAAGGTTCTTTTTCTCATTTCTTTTTTTACAATTGTCGGATAAATTCTTATTTATATTGGCTGCTTTCCTTTTAGAAGGCACAGTCGATATAAACGTCATTCTATTCTTCTTGGCATTCAGTGAATAACAAAAATAAAATGTTGTCGACTACGTCTTCTGAAAAGAAAGCAACCATTATCTCTACTAAATTACCTAGTTTGCTGCAGTTGCAGACATTGTTACAATGTAAATATTACCATGATATTCTTACAGCTCTTTACAATTTAGAGGGAGACTGGCGCGACATCGTCGAGAATTCACAGATACTTTCTGAAAAACACACGCAGCAGCAGACTGCACTCTGGGAACTGGCTGAGACCGAAGTAGCCTACATTAAGACGTTAAAGGTTGTGACTGATGTAAGTAAAGTATCAACACACCTCCTACGTTTTCGCGAAAGCAGACTCGTGAAACTGATTAATCTGATGAAGATGATAAGATTACTTGATATATCAAACATCTTGAAATTATAATGAGATCAGGATGACGTATCTCATTAAGAGATTAGAAATTTTCAATGTTTTCTGAAAGTGATGATCGTCGTTTTTGATCTCGTAGCTCTTTATGGCGTGTCTCTGTAGCCTGCAAGTCTCGAATATCTTGATCGAGGTCGACAGGCTGAAACTCTTCAGCAATATACCTGATATCTACGCCGCCAATCGCTACTTTTGGACTGAGTACCTACTCGCGATGGTGAATGCGTCGCGGTCGAGCGGACAGCCGCTCGATCCCGGCCATCTTCTATTGGGCTTCGAAACTTTCGAGCAAACGTTTGCGCCTTACACAAGATACTGTGCCGAGCAGAGCAAGTGTCAGCAGTATTGCAAGGATCGGTTAAACGATAATCAGCTTTTCACAGCATACTTGGTGGTATGTACACGCTGTGTTACTCTTGTTCGCTTCCGTCGGCTTACTTTGGCGCAGTCAGTTATCGATCTCTCACTATTAATCTTAATTAATTAATTTCGGAATTAGCTATCATGCAGTTATTTTAGAAAAATAATTAGGGATCTTAAAGACATTTTCTCATCTAAAATAAGAAAAAAATTAACAATTTTGGCGGATTTGTTTAAAAAATAATTTTAAACGAAAAATTATCTAAAGTGTTAAAATTTTTTTAATATTTTTATAAATTGGTACGAAGACATTAGTTTAATATTTTTAATATATTCTTATAATATATTTTGTTTAGCTATTGTTCTTATAAAAGAGACATAAAAAGAAATTTAAATATTATAGAAGGAACGATAAATGTATAGTATAGTATACTAGAACTAGTAGCGATGTCTCTCGTCATTATAGTGGTGCGAAACGCAAAAGGACTGCAACCGACTGAAACTTATGGATATACTGGTCATGCCAATGCAGAGGCTCACTAGATATTCGCTCCTGCTCAAAGCCGTCTACAAGAACACAGAAAATGAAGATCAACGCACAGAATTGATACACATGGTAAAATTTATGCTTTACTTTTTCTCAATTTCTGGGTTATGACAGGAAGGGGTGGCGTTGGTGCGAAGCGAAGTTAGCGCGTTCGTGATAAGCGACACTTCCCTGTATAGGTGAAGGTTATACTGAATCCCATGTATTATGAACTCAATTTGCTCTTGCTTCAAAATTCTTCGTAAATAAAAATACATACAGAGAAAGAGAGCGCGCAAGGAAGTTGTTTACGTTTAATCTTTCGTTTTGCGTCCAGATTAAATCCGTGGACGGTTTTGTGGTGTCCGTGAATGCTGCATTGAGGAGGAACGAGGAGGCTGCTCAGCTGGTCCACGCAGCCTCGCGTCTGGAATGCTATGACGTCGTGGAAACCAAAGGGCTCGACGAAGAAGTGGAGAAACTGATAAGGTTGTACAGCAATCTCGATATTACTACGGCACCGATGCCCGGCTGTCCTAAGGACAGCTTGAGAACTCTTCTTCGAGAAGGAGATTTAAAGTTAAGAGACGCCGCCACCAGTAAGGTAGATCGATAATGAAATGTTAACTTATTTAATCGATCGGAAGTTGCTTTTATGTCTTAAACTACATGCAGAAATAATATATGGTCAAAGAAAAATGTGCGTAATTTTTTATCATGTTATTTAAAACGATCACAAATAATTTTGCTGCAATTTATATTTATTTTGCAAAAATGGGTTCTACAAATTTTATCGAATCGTCTGTATCGAAAAAGCAAACAGAATCAGTCAGACCACTTAACTAGGAAAAACTATTTGTAGAGACCTACAATCCGTTAATTATCCCCTTTAGATGGAAGTGCACGTACTTTTGTTGACTGACATGCTGCTAATTTGCAAACCGTCGACGAAGAAAATGTTGAAGATCATTAGGCAGCCATACGTCGTCGACCGCATACGGATACACGAGGTCAAGGAGCTATCTAGCCTTGGATTGGTTTATCTTAACGAGTACGGGACAGTTTCCGCCGCTTTAATTCTCAGCGCCGGTGACCCGAAACTAGCCAAGGTAACTCAACAACTACCGCGAATTACGACAAATTTCACGGGACGACTGATTCACGTACCGTTCCAATTTAGATTCCATTCCGTAGTTCGCCAACGATGGCTTTCATCAGTCACTTAATTAATGGTAACAGCTAAATTCTCCATCCCTCTTTTGATCATACAATACATGCAATGTTACAGAATCAGTTAATCTACAGCGAAGCGTAGTTTAATTGAAAAAAGTGACACAATTGAAGTAATTGACCGATATCGGCGAAACTTTAATTTAATTAATAGATATCTTAATTTAATTAATAAGTAAATTATTTATACCTTTATTTAATCAATAGATTAAAGTTTCTTAAAACCATAAAATTTTCAAGCTTGCTTAAGCGAAAATTTATTTTGATTTCTTTTCCAGTCGTGGATGGACTCTTTGAAACAGGCTCAGCAACAATTCATATCGATGAAAGTTCCGTCGCTCGGTGAACCCGTGATGAATCTGACGTCTGTCAGCAGACAGCCGAGCACATTGGGCGATGGCGATTTCGAAGTAGAAGAGTATGACAGTACCTTCCCAAGAACTCCACGCGGCAGTAGCAGAGCTTCGCACGGCAGCAGTCTCGCTCACAGTCACAGGTACATGCAATAGCAAGGAAAAAGAATATATCAGTAAACATTAATGATAACAGCTAAATTCTCCATCCCTCTTTTGATCATACAACACATGCAATGTTACAGAATCGCAGTTAAACTGTGCAACTGATGTGAAACTGGATGACACATCAGGTTAAGCTTGACTACAAGTTAACCGCACATAATGAAAAATTCAATAATATAACTGTAAAATAATACATGTTATACGTTAAACTTATATTATTGAGTGGAAAATTATAATTAACAATTATGTTACTGTTAATTGATGTTTACTGATTGTGAGTCGCGTCGAAGTCGATGATAATTTATTATCTATATTTATCATTGCGACTGTACATAATGAGACTTTTGTCGTCTCTAGTGGTAGCATGGAGATGGAAGGTGCATCTCCGGGTAGCAGTAGCTTCCTACCGAGCTACAATCCCAGCAGGAATGTCAGCGTGGATACAAACGAGCAACCGCGAGCATCAAGTTCGCTGTCATCGGAAGAAGGTGGTGAATCCAGCTCCGGGCACAATCGAACTATACACATGAGGTAAAAAAGCGTACAAGTAATCGATTCCGCGATCTTGCGATAGCCGATGAATATTAATGTTCCTATTAAAATTAATTTACAAACCTATCAGGCGCTCGTTGATGAATAAATCTCCAACACCAAATACTCTGAGCGTCCACGTGCCGTACTCGAGTCTGGGTCAATCGCTGCCCAATCTGACGTTGGCCACCTCACCACAGACTTCCACTGTATCGCCGACGCCACCAAACTCGTTACTGATCGTACCACAGATGACCAAGAGCAAGGACACTCTACTTTCACCAGGACACCGAGGTAGCAATTACCGATGCGAATCTTTCTGCTTGTTTATCGGTTTTTTCAAAGCCAAAACCTTTCAATGAGAACTCTCTGTCGCGCCACGTAATCATACACGTTAAATGCACACAGATTAGATCATAACATATAAATAAATAAATATTACAAGTACGAATCGCCAAGCGCTTTTTTTCTATTTCAAAACCATTTTAATGCCGTTTGCTTGTTAGAAATAGCGGAATTGTCATCCAGGGCACAGGCACGAGAGAAACATAACATCAAGGTTGTAACGTAGTTTAGTGTAGATTTTTTTTATTAAATATAAAATATTGACACACATGATAGTTTGATAGAGTTGGTCTACATGCCGTTATGCACGAGAACTTCAAATATTAATAAAAATTAGTATTTTATTTACTTGAAGAGAAAAACGTAAACTGCAAGAATTTTACTTAGTATTTATTTTTTCCATTCAATTCAAGCCTAATTCATCTTATTTAAATTCACAAAATATTTTCTCATAAACAAGAATGACGCAATATATATATTTAATATTTGTGAACTGATGACACCATTTTGGATCACTCCCTTTTATTTTGCAAACTGCTTGCTTGATTATTGTGAAACTTGTCTTATGTGGAATTTTTTTATAATGCTATAATATCAAATCACATCAAAAATAAAAAATTCTGACTGGTAGATTCAAGCAGACAGAATTTTAAAAAAATAATTTAAAACTTTCAAGAATTCAGCTTTGTTTTAAGATAATCTAATTTCTTTTTTAATTTGAATTTTATAATTCTAAGACAAAAAACGTATTTAATGATTCCGAAAAATCTTCAGAAAATATTAAGAGATTCTATAAATTATTCTGTTTAAAATCTCCGATTTTTTCCTCTGAAAAAATTCAGCAGATATATTCTTTTGTTTTCTCATGTATTGATGATATGTCACCAGGTATATCCTACCCACCGCCGTCACCGCCGCGAGGTGCTCTCAGACGAGGGTTCGCGTTACCGCAATCTCGGAATCCGCCCTTGATGAAAACGAGGCACGTAAATGCATCCCTGACACAATCAGCACAAGTAACCATGGGCAATTCCGATACCGAGGTTATTGAAGAAAGACGGAGAAGGATAGATCCTTCTCAGAGAGTACCATCGACGAGCAGTATCGTTGAAGAAAAGGTATAAAGAACCCTGCACCATTCTTATGGGAAAATGTCTTTCTGCGGATTTGGCTAATTGTTTGATGTATGTGCAGTTTTCTTTATTCTCAACAAATATCTCAGTTTTATTTGTTCAGAATGAAGAGAACTACACATATTCAAAAATTAGCCAAATCCGCAGAAAGACATTTTATCATAAGAATGGTGCGAGGTCCTTTTATAATTCTAAGAAAATTAAGATTTTTATTATAATGCAAAACTTAGGACATTTCTGTGAAATAATTTGACATTATTTATTATATAATTTTGCATTATTTATATTATTAAAATAATTTTTTTATAATTGATTAAAAAATCCATTACAATTTTAATCAAATATTATATATGCTGAAAGATTAGAGTGATAAAAAACAGTAAATATTTAACAAAATTGTAAAAAATGATACAAGGAATGTTCAAATTCCTTCGTAAAATAGATAAAATCTGTTCGTCTTAAATATAAACAATAATAGAATCTATTCCTCAATTTAAAATCAATAAAATGTAAATAGTTCACGAATTAACGTTTTATTTTTTGTAAATCAAATATCATTGTTAGAAAGAGAGAATATAAACGTTATTATAAAAATTAAATACTAGAATAACCAAAATAATTATAGAAATTCATGAAATTATAATTATTTGTTAAATAAAAATGTAGAAAACATCGAAATTCGTTAAATTTATTAATTTCATTAGAGAGAGTCTTAGTTTAATATCGTTTATTAATTTCCGATTTTTCATTGTGCTTGAATTTCATATTTTTGGGGGACGTCCGACAATAACAGATCGCTATTATTGCTCATAGAAATGACCTGCAAATTGACCTGAAAGAAGAATTTTCCGAACGTTTGGTATGGACCACATCGTCGACATGGATGTACGTGATATGTAGAGGCTCGACGTGATATGTAATGCTCGACGTGGATGCACATGATATGTAATGCTCAACGAGATGCATTCTTCTCTCTATGTGTGGGTACTGCATACAGAAAATTCGAGGAGCATTGATCTTCGAGGATTGATTGTCTCGCACTCTTTGGAATCCTACAAAACGAGTCAATCAATACATTACAATCGGTAAGACGTCATTGATACGTCATACCATGTCGATACGTCGTACAAATTGATACCGATAAGAGCGAAAATATTCATTAATGTTTCTGTATTTTCAGATTGGGGCCATTCGAAATCAACGTGTGAAGTTTGTACCATTATCGTATTGCTACTTTTATCTCGTTATCTCCTTGTAATTCGTAGATGTCTCTTTGTAATAAACTAAGTCCGTGTTATCTATAATTAATATCGCATCGTGGCGTTATCGGCTGCGTGCAATATTAAATACAGATTTCGACTTAGACTTTTAAGCGATGAACAGAAGGCCTACTTAGAGTAACTATATTAAGATTTCATAGTGAATGTAGGGCCGCAGCTAGCGTATAATACGCCTTTTTAAAGGAGTTCATTTAGGCGCCTTATGATAGAACAAAAATCTTTGAAGAATCGAAGAAAATTGAAAATTGATTTCGAGCGAGGAAACCAGGAATGTGCAAAAGTATAAGTTGGCGTCTTTCTTTCCCTTTTTCCATTGTAGGGGCACAATGCCTACCCAACGACCAAAAAAGAAAGAGAAAATTTTGAGTACAATTGCCTTGTTTAGATTTAACGCATTAATGAGAAATAAGAGCATACAAAGACATCGAAACCTTTAAAAATTTGTAGACTTTAAATCGTTGCGTTCATTCTAAAGAAAAGTCTCAATTTTATGGTGCGATATGTAATCAACATCGCGCAATTCAGACATCGAAATGGAAATGACAGTTACTTCATCTGTTTTATTTAGCTAATCAGTCTTTGCCTAAAATTTATTTTACTTTTTGTTGAATTATTTCATTATTTTCATGAAAACGATTCAATAACTATTGTCAATGTATAATCAAATGTTTTAAGGAATATGCAAAACGGCCATTATCCTGGCACACCACTCTTTAAAATTATTATTGAATAGTAAAATAATAACATAACGTTATTT